GGAATGAGATATAAAGGTATGGAAATGAGATATAAAGGTATGGGAATGAGATATTAAAAGTGGATTATTCCCACCTTAGTCTGGGTGAGTACTAGTGTGAAGACTGAGTGAGAGCGAGAGCTCCTGTCATTCATTCCAGTGGCAGCTGTGGCTCGGAACCTGTTACCCAGTGCCAGCCATCGCTGCATGAGAAAAGGAGAATAAAATAATGAAATAAAATAAAACAAAATGTTAGTATTACCTCAACATCAGCAAATGAAGATGCAACATATCTGTATGCATGTATAGTAGAGAAGTACAAAAAGTATTAGGTTTTCCTTTCTCTCTTGCTCTTTATTCTTATCTCCTCTCTCCCTCTTTCTTCTTCCATCCTTTTTCTTTCCTTTCTCTCCTTCTCTTTCTCTCTCTTTCTTTCTTACGTTGATAAGTCTTCAACATAGGGACCTGTCACTGGATGTTCCCTAACTCTTAGCTACAGATGTAAATAAAATAGTACTAATAAAGTACACAGTATATACAGTATATAGTGTACATGTGTAATAATGATAATAAGTTGGAGTCTTACATGAGTTTTGCTCTTGTGTTTGGTTGATGCCAAGAGATCGTGAATCCTTTCCTTGTATATCTCATAATAACTGACCTCAACTTTATATGAAGTCTGAGAGAGAAAGAAAGAGATTAGAGGGAGGACATTAGCAATAATTATGCAAAATAACATTTAAAGTAAGAGAGAACTACAGTGCATGTAGAAGGTATAAAAGATACAAATGTATTCCACTCACTTCTTCATCAGCAGTCCCTTCAATGCGATCATACAGTTCATTAGCAAACTGTGGTATGACACCAAGGGCTGAGGGCTCACCCATTATACTGAGAAGATGGAAAACAGTAAAAATTTAAATTAAAATTACTTATTTTTATATTTACCAGTAACTTTTGCCTGAGCCAGTCTAAAAAATAAAAGCAAAAGAGAAAAATAACATGTTAAATTTGTGCATGTACATCTTAAATGCACACATACATGTACATGTAAGTAATGATCTTATCCTTACCTGCCCATAAGCAAAGAGACAAGTGTTATATCCCTCAAAAGCTTTATCTAGCAGTGGTCTAGCTATCTCATTATACACTGTTTTCTGATCAGCAAAAGAGGCTTGGATGTCATCAAAGGACCAAAAGCAGTGATCATACTGGAACCGATGAATGTTGGAGTCTTTGGGTGACGTTATGGTCAGGTCTGAGTTGAGGACACGGACAACTTGTTTAGCTCCTAAACGCTCCTCCCTGCAATAATTGAAACAACAACAATCATAATCATGAATTTTTATACATAAAAATATTTCCATCATGCAGAAATTGTTGGGTATCTAAATGTACATGCACATAGTACTTTCACATGGTTTATGCAGTAATTATTGTCTTATGGTCAAATTGAAAATCATCAGTGCATTTTATGAGAAAATAACCAAAATAAGAGCCACTAATACAAAGTGATGCTATCTCTACCTTTCACTGAATGGTCTAATCCTAACAGCAACCATTACACTGGAGTCCTCTCCCTCAGGCTCTGTTGAAGGATTAGAATATCCTAGAAAAGTCCTTGGCTTAGTCCCAGGAGGAGACACTACCTCGCTACCATCTCTAGAGTCTTCAATAACTGCACGTTTCACTCAGTAGTGTATTGTCAGTGATTGAAGAGGAAGCTCTCGGGGTAGTGCTTGAGCGTGGCCGCTGTTCTGTGGTCTTTTTTGATTTTCTCTTCCCCGGGGGTATCTGTGGTAGCTGTCTCTTGGTGGTACGGGCTCCTACTGTCTCTGGTTTCTGCATTTGTTGTCTCTGCTGCTTTTCCTCCATTTCTCTTCAAATCCAGCGAGACCCGCCCTTTTAAAACCCCGCCCTATCACACCCACTATAAAATAATTGCTATTCATTGACATTGTTCAAGCACTTGAAAGAAATAAAAATTAAGGATTAAAAAATAAAATTAAGCATTAAAAATAAAATTAAGCATTAAAAATAAAATTAAGCATTAAAAATAAAATTAAGCATTAAAAATAAAATTAAGCATTAAAAATAAAATTAAGGATTAAAAATTAAATTAAGGATTAAAAATTAAATTAAGCATTAAAAATAAAATTAAGCATTAAAAATAAAATTAAGCATCAATATCAATATTAAAATCAAATCCCAGTTCATTCTTAATCGCTTCAATCCAGTCCTCACCTAAAGCTTCTGCTGCATTAGCAAAACTACCACTAACAGCAATGAATGAGCTTAAGAACTTCTGACAGTGCTCTTCCACTTTAGGTAACTTCCTCTTAAAACTAAGACCAGCCTTGAACTCATCAATAAACTTTTCTATTGAAGGATTCCCTCTGACAGCATTATTGACCAAACGAAGAGTAAATAATTTATTGGCAAGATCAGGGACAGCTTCCATTGGTAGTGAAGTAAGACCATCATAATGAGATACAAGAACACCATTGATCACTTTCTTTACTTTATTGACATCAACAGTAGCTGATGGACCTAATAGAGGTCAAAGGTCAGTATATACACACAGTATTATCACTTACTAGCTCCTCCAGTGGATGATACTGACGTTGATTCATGTACTACATTAGAGGAGGAGGAGGAGGTAGTAGGATCTGATTAATATTAAATAAATTAACAATTTAAAATCATTTGTATCTACATGTATTACCTGTTGAAGGAGGAGGAGGAGGATTTCCCTGTAGTGATCTACGGATGAATAATGTAACAGGATCAGCCACACCTTCCAGTGGTATGGAGTAATGTAGTGTAGGGACAGCATCAGGTGATCCATACACTGATATCAGACAAGATGGAGGAAGAGGATAATCTTTGCTACCAAAATTGTTAACATCACAACGATACAACTATTAAAGTATAAACTATTATCAGTTAATTAAAGTCATACTTACCCTGCATGGTTCAACATGAGGGTCAATAGTCCAACCAGTAATATCCTTCTTTTGTGGAGTATCAAACTTTAGCTCGATACATCCATCATTATCTTTGAAACGAAAATAAACATGCTGTCCTTTCTTAGCATGAGAATGCTCTTTTCTGATATGCTATATTAAAAATCAATTTCAATGCAATCATTACAAATCCATTGTCAAGCACATGTACCTTAATGAGAGCATTTAGTTTCTTAGCTGCAGTGAAGGTAACCAAATCTTCTACTCCGTCTTTTTCATAATAAAGCATTCCAGTGTATGTTATGCCCTTTCCTACAACTTTGAATTCTATAATGAAAGAATATAATATTAGTAAGGATTTTTTGACACCTTGTTTGGAATTGAAATTGTTAATTTTTCTTGACAACTTATTTACATGTACTTACTATCAGTGGTTGAAGGCTCTGATTCATTCTTACTGTCAGATACAGTGAGAGGTGTTGCTGCTCCTTCAGTAACTGCTTCAGCTTTGTCATCTAATTCCTGATCTTTTTCTTTCTCTTCCTCCTCCTCTCCCCCTTCTTGATTAGGTTTTATAAATGAAGATAATACATGTACATACATAAACATACTACACATGTACATGTATACTGACCATTTGCTGCTCCATCGCTAGCTCCTGGTGGACCACCTGTCTTGTCTGATCCACTGGATGAATCTGATGAATGACTAGAAGAATCATCATTGCTCCCATTTTCATCATCTTCTGAATCTGAATCTCCATTAGTTGATTCTTCTCCCAGTATG